CCAAGTGTTTGCCAGCCCCGTGTCAGGACACAGTCCTGTTCCCCTTCCTCTTCCAGAGCCTTCCTTGGGAGTTAAAGATAGTTGTGTTAAAGCACTCGGGCACAAGTTAACCACATGCAGAGATAAAAGCTTGGGGAAGAGCGGCTGGAGAGCTGCCCAGCTGAAAAGGACCTGGGGGTGTTGGTGGACTGTCAGCTGAACAGGAGCCAGCAGTGTGCCCAGGTGGCCAAGAAAGCCACCAGCATCCTGGCCTGTGTCAGGAACAGCGTGGGGAGTAGGGCCTGAGAGGTGATTGTCCCCCTGGACTCGGCACTGGTGAGGCCTCACCTCAAGTACTGTGTCCAGTTTTGGGCCTCCTACCATAAAAAAGACATTGAGGTGCTGGAGCGGGTCCAGAGAAGGGCGACAAAGATGGTGAGGGGTCTGGAGAATAAGTCTTATGAGGAGAGGCTGAGGGAGCTGGGGGTGTTCAGCCTGGAGAAGAGGAGGCTGAGGGGAGACCTTATTGCTCTCTACAACTCCCTGAAAGGAGGGTGTAGAGAGGTGGGGGTCGGTCTCTTCTCTCAAGTCACAGGCGACAGGACAAGAGGAAATGGCCTCAAGTTGCCCCAGGGGAGGTTCAGGCTGGATATTAGGAAAAATTTTTTCCCAGAAAGGGTTCTCAGCCATTGGAATGGGCTGCCCAGGGAGGGGGTTGAGGCCCCATCCCTGGAGGTGTTCAAAAGCCGGGTTGATGTAGTGCTGGGAGGTCTGGTTTAGTGATGATGCTCCTTGTTTGTTGTGGGGGTGTCTATTTTTGTCAGTGAGGTTGACGGTTGGACAAGATGATCTTTAAGGTCCCTTCCAACCTAGAAGATTCTGTGATTCTGTGATGTGAGCGGCAGCTGCCGCGGTTCCCCCTCCATCCCACGGAGTGTTCCTGCCCTCCTCCTCCTGGGCTAACGCTCAAATACCCCTGTCCAGCAGCCAACAGGCACCAGAGCTGGTGCAAGAGAGGACACAGGAGCACACAGAGCTCGGTGGGGGCAGGACAGGACGGCAGCGGACACTGTGGAACCACAACCACAGCTTGTGGTTTCAGGAACAGTCTAACCAGCACTATCGGCTTACAGCCGCCCGCGAGTCCCAGGGGATGGATGTCACCTGAGAAATAATGAAGTAGGAGACACTGGGGGTGTCACAGGGCTCAGCAGGGCACAGGACTCGCAGCGAGGGCCATGTATCTGGCAGAGAACTGACGGGCTCACTACACACAATTCAGGTATGAGGCTAGAAGTGGAGAGGAGCTGCTCCTTCCTAACACACAAGCTATGCATTTAATCAATCTGGAAAAGATCTTTGCAGAGTAACTTGAATCAACACTTTCCCAATAAACTCGTTCCTGAGGATCTTTTGCAAAAAAACAATCCTTTCTGAACTAAGCACATCAACACTTACAGCATCATGGTGCTGATTAAACCATAATACAAATTGTCCCTAGAAGATTTATTTATTTATTTTATCTTTCTAGAAGCGGTCAGTACGAAAGAGTTCAAAAATTCATGTGATATTATCCTGTGAGTCCTACCAGAAGATATATGGCTTCTTTACAGCAAATACAAAATATACAAAGGAGGGGAAAGACACGACTTAAATACAAACTCTCACACTTTGTACTTTAAGTCACATCTTTCCCCTCCTACTTTTTTTTTTTTTTTTGGAAAACAATTTGTAGAAGACAGAGGATGGGGAATGTTCTTAGTTGTAAAAAGAAAAAAAAATAAAAATATTTAGACAGCTTTTAAAAATAGTAGTACAAAAACATAATTTGTTTTATATTTTACAACACAACTTATTTAGGTTTAGTGGCGTGCGGTTGTATTTTGAGCTTTAGCCAATAGCACATTTCTTACAGGCCATGTCAGGAAGAGGGTTTTTTATTTACATTTTAATACTGTTGTTTTGTTTTTTTTTTTTTCCCCAAAGCAAAACTGAAATCATTTCCTCCTCTTCTGAATTAAGATCACGTTCAAAACCATTATGTTACCATAAGCAGGTAGAAAGTGTATCTACGCTTACTATACCTTAGCTCTATAAATGTCCCTGCAAGGAATGAACCAGAGACCATAACCTTAAACTCCTGACTTTTAGGTAACTCTGCCTGCAGATAAATCTAATCAGAACTGCCTGTCTGAAACAGGAGCTGAAATAATTAATATTTAACAGGATTTTCAAAGAAGAGTTTTATTTGAGACACAGCCCAGCCTAAGCATTCGCCAGTCAGGTTCTCTATCTTATCGGAGGGAATATTTTTCAACATCTTTTGCATGGAGGGATTTGAGCAGCAGACTTCAAAATTCTGGTAAAGGACAAATCCCTACTCACCTCTGACTTGAAAGAAGTTTCATCCTCTGAATTTGACTCCTCCATTTCCACGGGCTTTTTGATCTCCTTGGCCTCACTTTCAGATTTTACCTTTTCCACTTTGGCATTCATCTTCTCCTTGGTTTGTTTCTTCTCTGGATACGAGGAAGACGAGGTTCTGGGAGATGTCCCAAGGATATTCTTTACCCCTTTGGAGCTACTCTTTTTTTGTTTTTTGGCACTAGGCTTTGGTGACTCCACATTGGAGGGCCTCTTGCTGGAAGACTTCAACTCCGGCTGCGGCCCACCCTTTGGAGAAGTGTTCTCCAGTTTGGTCTCCTTCACGGCCAGTTTTGGTTCCTTGAAAGCAGCTTTTGGAGGTGCCTTCTCCTCCTTAGGCAGTTTGTTCTCAGTTGGTTTTCTGGAGGAGTCCTTCAAAGGCTTGGTTTGCTCTCTTTCAAGGTCTTTGGAGGAGTTTTTACTCTCAGAGTCTTTTCTCGGCCTCTCTCTGTGCTCCTTGGTTACTTTGTGTGGCTTGGATGCCTTGCTACTTTCCTTGTTTGCATCCTAAAAGTCAGCAACAGAAACATGCACGCGAGGTATGAAACTGAAGCCCTGCACAGAATTATAAAACACATTCTCATCACTCACGTTGAAGCCTTTGCTTCATGTAGACATCCACCCACACATGCCTTGCATTGATCTACCTCCGAGGTAGACATCTAGATTTCCCTAAAGCCAATGGACAGAAATTGACAGTAACCACTTAAACATCTACAGAATGAAACATGTTTCACTAATGCCTGTTCCATGTTTCCATGGTCTGTAAAAGGTCTAAAACATAGATGTTTTATTCAGATTTAATCCGTAGAGTTAACATCTGAAGCCAGGTAAGAGGAAACTCCACCAAGCTGCTACACAAAGTTATGCTTCACACCACGTTTTAGGGGGACAAAAACTCAACAGCACCTTAAAGAGTTTTTTTTTAAGGTTAAATCACGTCCATGGTAAATGCAAGTTAAGTTGGCTGCCTGGTCCTCAACTCACCACATCAACCAGACTGCAAGGTGACAAAACCAGTGGATGTCCCCACAACCACACACAAGCCAAAGTCTCTGATATCAACAGACATTTTATCACCTTTAATAAGAGCTTTAAGACATCAGTTTTTAGGACTCTGCCTACCCTAAGAGTCAGGTACGCAGGAAGGCAAAGGAGTACTTCCCTTTGCAAATTCTATCTGAGCTCAGAACTTACAGAAGTGGGTCTTGTGGGGAGACCCCAGTGTGTGAACTGAACACACTGAGACACAAACACACCCACACCTCTGAGGGCAGCCTGGAGGGAGAGAAGCAGGAGACTCTCATCTCTTCAGCTACTGACAATTTTCACCAGAGCTTGGTGTCAAAGCCTCTTTATTTCTCTTCTGCCTTCTCTGTTTTCTCATGCTTAATTCCCGACCAAAATTAAATCAGCCACTAACAGATAAATCATCTTCATTCTGTCTTATAACATCAACATCAGAAGACGTGACTGAAGCACCAAAAGTGTTTAGAGCCCTGGACAAAATGAATATCAGAACTGAATTACACCATAGAATGAACTGCTGTTAATATTTGTGACTGTTCAGGCTGATAAAGCGTATATAATCTGCCTCAAAACATACCACCTGTGGATCCTTCTGTGCAGAATTCCACACAAATAAGATTCATTGCACAACTGAAAAAAGGAAAACTCAAGAACTCAGAACCAGAAAGTCTTGAGAACTAGATACTGCTGGACGTAAACATCAAATGGTGAAATCACTAGTTTGACCAAGTGCAGCTTATTTTACATTCTGGGCCTTCGACCAGAAGGTCTTTACACCACTCCCCTGAGCAGACCTAATGACAGAGGAAGCACTGACTCTGCTCAGCCTCGCTGCAAAGAGTGTGACTCTGAGCACTGCTCTACGTGACAGACAGAGAAAGATCCCTTAATTCATCCTCGGTATCAAGGATACAAGTCAGAACAACCAGAGAGACTTCATGCAACTTTATCTGTGACAGCAGATCGGGAGGAAGATAAAGTTCGTGAAAAAAACACCAGTCTTGGACACTTAATTTTCTTTTCAAAATTTCCCTGTGGAGAAGCCTAGCAAATCATAAAAAGGCCTCCTAAATTATGATAAGTTCCAGGCTATTAGCTAGCGAACCACAGAGTACAAGGAAGACATTTTCAGAATTAAAAGTAGCCAAACCCAGCTGCTAAACAAGGCCTTAGCAGCAAGTCCTAAAAGACTTCTTCACCCCCAGGGTGACACACATGTGTGTTTTGCTGACCTTTGACCCATGGGATGGTTTGGTCTTTTTGGGATCGGAGAAGGCAGAGAGTGGTATTGTGGGTAACATCGGATAATCGGGACTCGGCCTTGAAACAGTTTCTGCTCCTTCTGGCATGACCATCACCTAGCAATAAAGAGGAGAAAAATTATATATGAGTATAAGTCACACGGACTATTAACACATGATTATGTTAAGTCACTTGCTCAATTAACACACTATTATTCATCTTTTGGATGTTTTTTTCCCCTGCTTAAGGGCCATAAAATGATATTGTGTAGGTAATGCTTGGTTTCAAGGCAACTCCTCAAATACAGAACATTAAAACAAAAACAAAAGAATAAAAAATGAAAGGCAACATGCAATACCAAGTATCTTTCCCAAAGGGAACTCCAGTATTCCAAGCACAAACAGGCAATAAAGCTCCAGACAAGAACTGTGTGTTCTGCTGCAAATGCTTTTATCCTGTGAACAGGGAACAAAGTAAATCTGGAAGGAATGAGCAAGACTTCATCAATTTGGGAGAAGCTAAATTCACTCATTAAGAAAAAAAAGCAGGCCTTGGGTCTCTCCCTTAACACCAAGCACTAAGCTCCATGAAACACTTTCCTTCTTATCTCCCCCCTCTATTCTGTCAGAACAAACCTGTTGAAAAATCTCCACTAGATGAATGACATCAGAAATGATTCACAGAGGAAACACCTCAATGCATAAGGAAAACAATACCATACTATGAAAATCCTAGAAAGCAAACGATGTTCTAGTCATCCTGTGTCAGGAATAAGCACTCTCCTCTCTATGCCTGATAAGGAAAAGCACTGGGACACTGAGGAAGATCTGGACAGATGAGCTTGGAATACTTTCTACTCTTGTGACTCATTATTGACAAACCTCCCTGCAGCTTTTTCACTTTTTTAATATTTCAAGCTAGCAACATGTTTTTTCAGAAGAAAATTTTGCCAACAATTAGGACTATATTGAATTAAGTCCTTGAGCAGATTATAATGAAATATTACTGTATACATGGGTGTCTCAGGGGAGAGAGACTCAAGGGAGTCTTGACTTTCTCTGTTTGGTTAAGAACTTCATGCACTTTGTGGCTTGCACTGATTCACTTTGATCTTGCAGTTATCATTTCTTTAGTCTATCACTGCATAGTACTTTCCCAGAAGTACGAGTCCATCACTGTAGCAACCCATAAACCCATATCCTCATATCTTAGTGTCTTCAAGAGCATATTTGGTTTTTTTTTCCTCCTGTGTCCATTTTCACTCTGAATTCTAATACTCTTCCTTAATTTTTTTTTATTATCTAAGCCACAAGCAGCCAATTTCAGGTATAAAGGACATTTACTGACCAGGAAGTGCTAAGTATTAAGCTTTAATTTGGCAAGAATGATAAGGAATAGACTGGAAGCCTCTCCCTTTTCACAAGCTCTTCTGTACTCTACAGCTCACGACACTAGGAAGGTCAGGGATAACTGTAACTGCCAGACAGGCAGCCCACAACATCCACAGAAGATCTCCATTTCCAGAGAGGTTTTAGTGCTTTGATATTAATGGTCACATTTAAATTGAAAATGAAGTGCCACCAATCACACAAGCAATGGTTTAGTTCTGCTTCAAGTGCTGCAATCATATAACCAGGAGGAAAAATTGGCTGGGTCATCTTTTAGACAAAGGTGGGTAAGTGCAGCCTGCTGGGCTGCAGCTAAAAGGAAAGGCCAGAGCAAAACAAGATCACTAGACATTTTAGCAGAACATCTTGAGATCTCCAGCCCCTTTGGCACTTACCCCTCCAGCCCTGATGAGTTTGCGTCTGAATTCCTTGGTGGGATTGTTGAAAGTCAGTTTCTCACAACGAAGGTGGTTCACGGGTGGATTTCCCTCCAAATTTAAGAACAGGTCATACGTGAAACAAACCTTTTTCGGCTCCTCCTAAAAACAAGAAAGACTTTGGGAAAATGGACGAAGTTTGGCAAGGACACTAAGGCAGAGAATTCCAACAGTAACTCCTGAAAATCCCAAATAAACCCCTGAGTAAGTGTTGCATTCATAGAGTTTTTCATCATGAGATCAGAGAGCTAGAAAATAAACTGTTTGTGCCCAAAGTGCCTGAAGTTAACACACTGTTCATCAGAAACCCAGGCGTGGCTTTTCACTGCAAAAGAAATGCAGGGACAAGGGTTCTGACTCTCAATTGTCTGCTTAAAGTCATTGAAGTCATCGTAGCAAAGTAGATTCACAAGCTTTGTCCACTATTCTGCTTTCACTGGAATTCAGATCCTAACTCCTTTAGGGAGCAACTGAACTCTAAGTATCGATATTAAGAAAAGCATAATCCTTTATTTAGAGAAGGAACAACTTCTGAACTCACAGGATCTCGGCGGGTACTGAGAAAAGATTAAACGCGACGGTAAAAGGATGACTCGTTTTGTTAAAATCCTTTTCAACATGCATATTGCAGGGGCTGAATGGGAAGATATCCCAGGCTTTTGAACTTTGCAAGGGCACTTTCACTCAAGAAATGTGGAGTTTGTATGCAAGTTGGGGATCATCTGCGCCTCACTGGTTTTGTTCCACCTGCCGCAGCAGCACAGCAAACCCTCTGCATTTGCAGCACAGAATGGAAGAAACCACTTCCTTTTTTTTTTTTTCCTCCCGAAATACTGCTTACTACTTGCATATTACTAATATTGATATGAAATTTCCTGGTATTATCTTGCATTCTGCATTTCAGGATGAAAAAACAAAACCTCAAAATGGGGCAAAAGAGTTATCTCGTATTCTGCATTTCAGGATGAAAAAAAACAAAACCTCAAAATGGGGCAAAAGAGACTCTCCTGCAAACCACACGGAGCCTTCTAGTACATTCAGTATTTACATGAATGCATCCCACATGCCTCATTCAATGTGCAGCCCCAAGCAGCTGCACAGCAGTCTTTGCCACAATTCATATCCAGCAGCTTGATTTCCTGGTGCAGTGGCATTGTTGGATGGGAACAGACGCCGCAGGCTCCCAGCCCCAGCCATTAGATTTGCTGAAAATAGGTTGAAGCGTCAAACGGCTTCAGACCACCCCGATTCCTGCTGTTTGCTTGGTGGCTATTAACGTCTCTAAAGGAACCATTTCTTGTACAAACTACACCTCGAATGATCAAAATCAAAATCAGTACCCTAAGCTCACCTGGGAGTTAAGGCCTTGAGTCCTAATGCCCCAAAGAGGGGAGGACAGATGTCTCAGCAGACATGTACAGCAGAATTGTCTCCCATTAACAAGCACAAGGATCCTTGGATCCTAATGCCCCAAAGAGGGGAAGACAGATGTCTCAGCAGACACGTACAGCAGAATTGTCTCCCATTAACAAGCAAGAAGGTGCCACCAACACCAGGACTTGGAAAAGTCCTGGAGAATCCACACAGACTTGAAAGGGTTCAATGTCTACTAAAACACATGAATGGGGAGGAGGAGGAGGAGGAAAATACTTACAAAAAACCTCATCATTCTCCTCTTCTCTACGACTGTTCTCATTAACTGAATCATTAGCGAGCTCTGCATGTGTGTGCTTACACTTGAGTTCAAACAGCAGCTACAGAGGGTCCCTCAAAGTCTAATAAACTTAAATGAAGGATGAATAGAAACCTAAATGTGGCCTAAAACCGGTTTCTAAAATGTTTTTCCTAGTCGATAGCATAGAATAAATTGATTTTGGATATATTAGCAAAAGCAGGCTTTAGTCAAAAGCTGTTACACCATCACATTTCAGACCAGGAGAAGGGCAGCAGATTAACTTCCCTCTTATCTTAGGTATCCCATTTATTATATAGAGTCAAAAGCATCAGAGAAGCTCCCAAACATTTATCGTAGCCCGGTTGACGAGCTTCCACTTTTTGTAATAATTAAAACAGTTTTTCAATGTGATTTTTCTCCAACTTGGAGATTACGACTGCCCCAGGAACAGAGTCCCAGCCAAGCACCGTGATCATTAAAATCTCCTTTGTACCATCCCAGGCCATGGGGAGCCCCCCACCTAAGAGAATAGTTAAGGTTACAGCACTCCTAAAAGAACGAGTACAAAAGTCTCAAAGCAAAAAGCTGCAAATAAACATTCTTTTCTTTACTGCCTTCACCAACAGCTAATGATTACAGCTCAAGACACTCCAAAGCTTAACCCATCCGGTCCTCCCTAAAAGGGTCTTTCCTCCAAATGACCATCAAGAAGGGGGAAAAAAAGGAAAAGAAGGAAGATCTCTCACAATTGAGTGCTGTGTCCAGTTTTGGGCCCCCTACCATAAAAAAGACATTGAGGTGCTGGAGCGGGTCCAGAGAAGGGCAACAAAGCTGGTGAGGGGTCTGGAGAATAAGTCTTATGAGGAGAGGCTGAGGGAGCTGGGGTTATTCAGCCTGGAGAAGAGGAGGCTGAGGGGAGACCTTATTGCTCTCTCCAACTCCCTGAAAGGAGGGTGTAGAGAGATGGGGGTCGGTCTCTTTTCTCAAGTCACAGGCGACAGGACGAGAGGAAATGGCCTCAAGTTGCACCAGGGGAGGTTCAGGCTGGATATTAGGAACAATTTTTTCACGGAAAGGGTTCTCAGCCCTTGGAATGGGCTGCCCAGGGAGGGGGGTGAGGCCCCATCCCTGGAGGTGTTCAAAAGCCGGGTTGATGTAGTGCTGGGAGGTCTGGTTTAGTGATGATGCTCCTTGTTTGTTGTGTGGGTGTCTATTTTTGTCAGTGAGGTTGACGGTTGGACAAGATGATCTTTAAGGTCCCTTCCAACCTAGAAGATTCTGGGATTCTGTAATTGACCTGGACCTACACACCCTTTAACTTTAAATGGAAAGCCACACTGAACCCACAGTGCCACACTTCAAAGCCTTCCTAAATAATACGTTGGGATCTACACATCCTGCTGCCTGGAGCTGCAAGAAGAGGGTAGGTGCTTTTTCACCCTGCAAACTTCAGCCCAGGAGGTCTCTTTTCACTCTGCACCACCACTTCCCACACATGACCAAGCCAAGCCTTCAACGTCAACAAGTAACACTGAAGAGGGGACAAGCTTACTTTGTGTGGATATTTTGTTGCTCTCCGAGACCATAAGCTTGTCTTGAGGGTCTTACTTCCAAGAAAGGCTTTAAAAAAGGACGCATCACGTCCAGGTCTGACTGGTAAATATTGTGGTTATTCAGATTTAAATTAAAGGGTCAATTTGGACACGATATGGTTAACCTGGTGTGGGATCTCTGAGCAAGTCACCTTAGAACCTCCATTTATATCTGCCCCTCAAATCTCAGATGCCAGGGAAGTGAAGGAGGAGTGTGGACCACAAAGCTTGGGCTGAGCTTCACTTGCAGCCACTGTAACTTTCCCTCCATCCAGTGACTCCAGCTACTCCACCTCCCATCTCCAAAGCTGAGTACGTTGCGCTTTATTTTTCCACTTTTCCAGCTTCCTGTCTGGCACCGCTCCGTTACGAACGCTGGAGTTGCTTTATTTTTCTTCTGAAGTAATGGGTTAAAGTTCTTTTGGCACTTTTTTGGTAAGAGGAGGAATTTTTCAAAGTCTTTTGTTAAAATTTCCTTGTCCTGTTTTTAAGGCAGGGTGTGCCCTTTGCCACTTCAACACAAATCAAAAGAATTTCACTGGTAGCGTGCGCATAAAGCTCATAAATCACTTTTAGAAAGCCATAAACCAAAATTATCTACAAAAATCTAGCACACCAAGGAAGCAGGCTCATGGTTATTCAATAACTATAACATCTAACACTACTTCCCTTTTGCCATAGATCCAGCCTGACAGTCATTTATCCGTAACCGGTTCATAACTTCTGTATAAATGGACCCCCCTTTTCCAGGCTGGTACAACCCGTTTGACCAGTCCTCTGCCCTGCTTCCAGACAGGACACTGAGGAGTAAATAGCCCAATATTCTTTTTTTTTTTTTTGAGGCAAGTAGCCTTATGTTACACTCTGTTAACAAGCCCCTTGTCTTTTTTTGAGATTCTACAGGGTTAAGTAAAATAAGAGCGAACAACATTTTTGGAACTCTCCCCCATCTGAAAGCTATTAATTTGTTTGAAAATTAGGAAAATATACTCACTGCTCAAAGACAAGCATTTAATAATCTACGAGCTCTTACAAATAAACAGATAGGATGCTGGCATGGCTAGTAAAGCTGCTATATTTGACAAGGCTTCCTGGCCAGGCACTATCTATCTGTAATCTATTCAGCAGATGGAAATGCCTCTCAATGTGCCACACACAGCCCAGGTGTTTTGGCCAGGAAAAGAGTCTGCTCAGATAGAAGAATGGGTCAACTGATAATACTTACTAATTTATGGAAGAAAAAGGTGGGGGAAAAAAAAGGTTGACCACTCAGCAGCAGCAGAAAAAGTGCCACAGGTTTGGTGAGATGATACAGAACAGAGCTAAAAAACGTGAGCAACAAATGCTGCCCCTCAAAGGCCAGACAAAATGACAAAATTTACTCCTCCTTCCACAGCTTTCTGCAACAGTGGATAAATACCAACAGGATAAATCTACTTCTTTTCTCAAACCGGTGCAGAGCCTGCCCCAACACCGCAGCAATTTGCTGGGTAAAATCAAATGTCTCATACAAACACCTTCCTTGAGTATTTCACAAGCTGATACCCTCCTTATGGCACCATTCTGACACGTAGCTGTAACTGATCTCCCATTTCACCTACCCTGCCATATGTGCATCCCTGTACAACACCTCTGCCGAGTTCCTACTTCCAAACACACATATTTTTTCCCTTGTCCAGTATTTTTCTATGTATTTTCTATATCAGGCCTATAAATATTGCAGAAGGGGTAAAGTATGCAGGCTTTTATTTTGAGCCCAACTGGAAAAAAAAAAATAAATAAAAATCAAACAGATTTCTCTGCTTTCTTCGCTTATCTCCCTTTTCGCCCGTAGAAAAAGCCCAAGTTACATGTATCCATTATGTAAATACTGGAAGCCTTTTATCTCTAGCACCAGAATTGGGAGGTAGTATCTTTAAAGAGACTTTCATGCAACATCTTATCCATGTTGCATTAATATCATCTGCCTTATATCAGAATAGCATGAAAGTATACTAGACCTTTAGCTTTTGTCGTGGGGAGGGGGGGATTGATCTAATTTGATTAGGATGCAAAAAATGTAATGGGCATGAATACCAAAGTCATACCTGCATTACAGCCTCCAGATTACAACACACGCCACCGTAAGGGATGTATTTGGAGACAAAGAGGCCACAAGAAAAAGCCTCAAGACTGTTGAAATTGGGGTGGGGGGAGAGGGAAAGGGAAGAGCAGGAGAAAACCAGCACCGCATTTATTGTACCCGGTTTGTATTGATTCAAGCACCAGAAGCCACTAACAGCAGCCCTCGTTACAGGAAGGAACACAAAGGATTTTAAAACAAAAACAGCATACTAACATTTTGCAGTCCAACAGTCCCAAATGATCTGCTATCATTGCTCAACTGTGCTTTCAAAAAGCTTTATCATTGGACCTGCTGAGCCCCTGCCATGTGTTTTTCAGGTTCAGTTCCAGAGGCAAAGGCTCCAGCAGGCCACTGACACCACGGGAGACTGCGAGTCCTGTGTCACCCTCTGGAGAGCTCAGACACACAAACTGCCCAGGTGCACAGCAATATTCAAAAGATATATATATTCTGTAATTCAAATGACAAGACCGAGAAAGCACAAAGCGCCGACTTATTGAGAAACTGAATTACAGCACAGGAATTAAACGCACGCCAACAGCGCATAACTCTGCGCAGGAGAAGAACAGGCTCTTGCACCTTTTATAATCCTCTGCTGACACTTCCCTGTCTGACAGAAACAATATTAAAAATATACATTCTGTAATTCAAATGACAAGACCGAGAAAGCACAAAGCGCCGACTTATTGAGAAACTGAATTACAGCACAGGAATTAAACGCACGCCAACAGCGCATAACTCTGCGCAGGAGAAGAACAGGCTCTTGCACCTTTTATAATCCTCTGCTGACACTTCCCTGTCTGACAGAAAGTCACCAAAAGCTTCAGTGGGGCCAAGAACACGGACTCTCCTACCCCTGACAACAACAACAACAAGAGCAGCCCGACACAAAGAGTTAATGGGCAGTTTTATGCAAACTTGCCCCCCAAAAAATCCCTGATGCAGTTCATTAAAAGCATTTTTAAGTCACTCTTGGTAAAACTGTTCCTTAGCAGTGAACAGGTCCGTGTTTCTTTAGCCAAAGCAAAGAGTACACTGGCTCTGACAACTGCTATTTATCATCCCTGTAACAAATTAGAACAGGGAAAGGAAACGGCTAAGAAAAGAGGCTTAAACTGTGGAAAAAAAAAAAAAATTTCAGCCAACCATGGCAAAGATCAGCCTCCACAGATTAGTTCCCTCCCTCTTTCAATCCTTTCTCTTCTCACCTTTACAAAGCTAAACATGCATCGATAAACAAATCCCAAAGCCTTTGCAACTCTTGTTTCAACTGAGAGGACACACATCAACAAAAACGTGCTAGAATGTGGGGAGCATATGGCCAGAAAAGAGCCACCCAACTCCTCCTGCTCAGCCACCTATGAAACCGCCTTTTCTCAATCTGTAACATCTACTTGAAAAGAGTTACTCAAGGATGAGTCCCAAATGCCGTAATCAATTCAGGCAAATTCAAAACAATATATGCTCCACACACAACAGCTGATCCCCACCAGTGTCAACAGGTTTACAGAGATCAGAGTGAACATATGGTCTTGAAGTAGTAAAGACTTATTTATTTGGTGCTTTAATGTCACATTCTTTAATCAGGAGGAAACGGGCTGTATTCTAAGCCTTTGCCATTCCTCCTCTTTCACAATCTTTTTAATTTCTACTAGATCCCAGGTTTTTTGCTTATATTTCATCTTTGCATTTCTATCTTTGCAGAAGCATTCACCTCTTACATTCCCTTCAGCTCCACTTACTGAAAATAATCACAGCTCTTCATATTTCAAGATGGCATTATCACCGGGCAAGAGTGGTCAGAGGAGCCAAATTCTTCGCATCATCAGGCAGCTTCTAAGCTCCCAGCAATCCTAAGTACCACGTTTAACTTCCAAAATGTGCAGAGAATATAGCATTTGCTGACATAAGGATGAAAAAAATTACTTTCAAGTAGTAAAAGCAAATTTCATACAACTTCAGGATAGCTCATGTATTTCAAGTTCGTGCTTGAACCTGGGAACACATCTCTGTTCAAACGACATCTCGAAGACAGAAGTGAACAGATTTCCCTCAACCATCACTTGCCTCAATTTAATAATGGGAAGTGCTGTCTGAAGCTCCTTAATTAGTCAATTCAATCAGCTTAAAAGTGGAAAAGAACTTCTCCATAATGCATAAATCTAAAAAAACAGGGCACAGATGAGTATTTTTAAGATTTGTCGTTTTGAGAACGAGTCTGCAAATAAAATTATTCTCCTATTTATTTTTCACGTTTCTAAAGACCTAAATGCCAAAACTGAAACGCCTTCTCCTAAATTAACTGCTCCTTCCATTGTTTCCACTAAGAAGAGAGACCACCTATTTCCCTTATTTATAAAAGCCACCCTATCCCTAAGGTTAGAGAGAATAACTATGCAGTCACGTGCTTACAGAAACAATGAGAAGTGATGACCCCAGTGGGTGTGAAACCAAGTTATATCCAGAAAAGCTGCCAGGTCCATATTCTATGAGGAGCACAGGAGTGTGAGGGATGGAGAGAAAGAAAACATACAAATGTAGGCAACAGTCAACGTGAACAAATGCACCTAAAAAAATACAGGAGAGGCAGAAATGAGAGAGAAAGATCTGGGGACTTGTGAAAGACAAAGCCATTGGGGACCTGAAGGGAAAAGGCAAGTGTAAGAAAAGATTGGGTGAAGAAAGGAAAGAAAAATAAGAGGTAAGAGTAGAAACAAAACACCATTCACCCATCACGCTAGAGATCACCTTTACAAGAAATCAGGGTGAAGAAGTTGACATTTTTGGTCAGGAATGTAAAGGTAGGCTTTGAACCTGAATTAAGCCAACACACAGTGCAGATGAAGAGTTTTCTCATTTCCATCCAAAACCTCAGAAAATCCACCAGAAGTCAAACTACTTTTAAGCTTTTGAGGAATTTTTTTTATTTTTTTTTGCAGTCAAGTCGTAGTTTTCAGAGTTTGCCAAAAAAGCTGCTTCTATCAACAACTTTCATCCCCTACCCTCTAACTGTCACTTCTCTTCACATCCTTTTGGCTTATCCCACCCACCCAAAAAGAAAGCTGGGGGCCAAATGTTTCCAGGGTTAGAAAACAAATCTTCTGGTGGGGTTCAGTCCCATTATTTGGCTTATTACTCAGACTCATCAAGAAGTGGGGTAAGAGCAATGTGGTAGGCCAAAAACCAAACTGAAATGTTAATTATTCACAAGCGACAGCACCAGGAGAGTAGAGCAGGGTGAGAAGGAAACAATAGACAGGTTAATTTGTGGAAGGAAAGGATGGGGGAAGATAAATAGAATGAGGTTTTTAGACGTGGTCTGCTCCCAACAGAACCTGGGGTTGGAGGGTTGAGGGGGGTAGGAGTGAGAGTGCACATTACACCGGTGTAGCTTAATGCTCAAATTCATCTACATTCCCTCTGAGGGATAATAAGCAGAACATTATGGGTTGTTTTTTTTTATTTAAGTAGTAATCAAAACCAGAAAGATTCAGTATTCATGTTTAACAAAATAATTCAACCGAAATGGAGTAAATATGAAGGCAAGTGCCCAAATCCCTATTTTCATAACCTCCTTCAAGTCGTGTAGCGTGTGACCTCTGTGGTAAGACTTCAAGCAAGCAATAAATCCCAAATTTTAACTTTCATATACTTGTTGGCAATGCATCTTAAGATTTAAAATATTTAGTGTTTTCTTTCTGGAAGAGGACTGAATCAGAACAACAATATTTTTAACATAGCTGTAAATACTTGTCCTATACATGCAAATGTTTGTCTTGAGCCCATACAAATTTTATACCTGTACAGTTAATTTAATAAGATTGCAAATAAAAAAAAAATGGATTGTTTACTATATTGCCAGTCAACACAGTATTTACAAATGTTTGTAAAAATCAGTGGTTTATGTTTATTTACTTTCCTACTTACATAAAATATTTTAAACTGCTTTAACATTATCCATGCTTAGAGCAGCTTGCTACGAGCGCTACAATCTCCGGTCAAAATCTCTGGGACCATCACACTGTCCTGATATTACCTTTCTATACAATTCCATTTCTGCCAAAAAGCTTTCTTTTGAAGTCTGGCAGGAGCTTCCAACTCCCAGTTAAATTCTATTTATTAGACTAATAAAAAACACACACATAAAACAGTCACATAATTTAAGAGTCTTTCTGTCAGGCAGTTTCAGGCTCTGGCACAGCTCAAAACAATTAGAAGACCAGAAATCAGATTCTACCTTATTTTTGAAGTGTACTTCAATGGGCATAATGAAGCCCGCGTAGCCAGACTCCTCCACTTTGTAAGGGGGCTCCTTGCACACTGAAAAGAGAACAGACAAACATTAATTTTGAATATAATGCAACTTAATCTGAGCCAAAAAGGAGTTGCAAGATGAGAAATGAGCCTCTGACAACCCAGGACACATTTAAAAGACTGACCTTTGTTAAAAAAAAAAAAAAAAAAAGGGGAAAAAAAAAAAAAACAAAACAAAGTAAGATGGTGGTCATGGGCTTAGTTAAGAACATGAAAATCTGTTCTTAGCTCCTCCCATGGAAAGGAAACATAAAACACTCCATGCCAGAGTCTCCATGAGATTCTTCCCCCCCTTTTGCAGTGAGATACAATTACATTTCTGGGCTGTTCCACAACAATGCAAACTGCCAGTTAAAGCTGTCCTGCAAAAAAAAAAAAAAAGCAAAGACCCAAAAAGGTGGGAATTTAAACAGTACGGAAAGGTAAAATGTACTTTGATGCCAATGTTTATTAATAAAAATCCACAAACAGATTTTTCCCCTTTAAATACCCTCCTGCAACACTCAATCTTCACAATTACGTAAGAGATGTACCAGAAGCTGCTTCATCCAAACCAGGTAAGAAACCTGACGGGCAGGTAAGGGTAAGCACTGCTATTTATTGCACACACAAGGAAATGGAGAAAGGTTAAAGAGTTTGCCACTAAGGTCACAGCGCTGCCTGCTGCAGAAACAGCCACTACAAAAGCTTAATCACTTCTAAGAAATTAATCTATGTGCTTCCTGCCTCGGTTCCCCCATCCCTGCCTGTCGTACCTTCACGCTGCTCAATCCTTCCTGTCATCTCCCACTGCTTTTCAGTGGTGTGACAGCCATAGCTACACACAAGGGCTGCCAGAAGAAACACCAGACCAACACAGATCTTCTCCCCTCCCAGGAACCGGATGCACTTGCATAGAATTTATGCGCTACAATATATGTAAATAAAGCCTATTAAGTAATTAGAGGAATCCAGCGCAAATCTTTTTACTTTCTCTAATTAATTCCAAGTAATTAATATGATTAGGAAACAGTACCTCAAACCTAAAAAGCAGGCAAATTATTTTCCTTTAATGTAGATATATGATCCCCAGCTCTTAACTCTTCTCCCATCATTAAGGTGCTAGAAAGCAGTACTCCAAATTCAACTGTGAATAAAATGCTTATCTAAAAATAACCAAAATTTCCAGACTTGCTTTAACTTGAATTTCATACAAGAACCCCATCGTTTAGGGGAAAAAGCCCAAAACCAAAGGAGAGTGCCAATATGGCAGCAGGAATCTTGAGCCTATCTGCCAAGCAGCCTTTGTTCCTTTGCTGCTCTCTTCTAACAAATGAAAATGACTATGCAGGCAATCAGCCGGCAGCACGAGCCCACCTTCACCAGCAGATTCTGCTCCACAAGCAAGAGCAAATCATCTGAAGAAACTCTTCAAACAAATCTAGAAATATTATGCATCTGCCCTATCATTTACGCACAACCGAGACACACTTTGGTCAAAAGTAAGCTGGCATCACAAGCAAGCTCAAGAAACTGTGCAAAATCTATTTATTTCTATTTATTTTAGAAATAAAACGTCTCTTTGAAGGTGATAGGGCAACTCACCCAGCAAAGCCCATGTACCAGCCCACCACAGTTGTTTGTAATAAAGTAATTACACCAGCTGACTAGGACTGCAGCACAGCAGACTGTAACTTTTCTTCTATAAATTAGCTTTCAGCTTGGTGATGCACTTGCTTATCATACATCAGTTTTACTACGTACATTTGAAGGAGGCGTCATTAACATACAGACTAGAATCACATCCTCACAAGCCAAGCACCTTTGAGGCCTCTCACAAATAACCAAGGCAGTAGGTAGTTCTAAGACACCCTGCGTGACCAGAAGTCTTCCAAAGAAATATTTCAAAGAATGCACGTTACAGAGTGATTTACAGCAACACTCTCAGGCAGGCAGGGTTCCTTGTAACACCACGTAACAGTAACACCACAGATGCAGTTACACAACTTTAAGCAGATCTAACTCTGCACTGCTGTCAAAAAGGGCAATTCCTGCTCCTCCACCTGAACCATGCGTTCCTGCCACCCCGTGCCAGGAATAAGGTTCATGTTGCTGCACAGTCAGAGAGAGCGAAGAACAGACCCAGCAGAAAATCACAGTACAATTTGTATACTCTTCCCCAGCCACACTGACTGCACAGTGCTTGCAGCTGGAATGTACAGCCAGGGGCAAAGAGACCATCACCCCCCCCGGCATCATTGATTTCTGCTGGATTTTGTAGTCCCTGAACTGGCACCCAAGACTAGAAACTGCAAGAATCCTGATGGCTTCTTAATGCTCAATAAAAATCTCTCCATACTCCAGCACGTATACAAACCCAGTATTTGAGCATCTCTCAGCAATCACATGGCAAATATTAATAAAATGAACCCAGCTCTCCCATTTTGAAACATGAATTATCTTCTGCTGTCACTAAGCATCTTGAGAATCCGCAGGTACTAATGCTTAAATAAGAAGAGAAAGGATTTCACCTCCAGCTCTTTCATCAGAAGAAAGGTCCCATTCTCCCTGACCTTCCTCAGCTAAAGACGGCAAAGGTTAAAGCTGAAGCGCACACCGTGTACATTTTGCTCCTCTTTAAGGAGATATTTTACAGAAAAGTGACAGCCCAAGACAATCTAGACTCGCACAATGCTCTTCATACAGAGGAGACCTAATAACACATCTTCAAAAAATACACTCACCTCGCTTGGGTTTGGGGAAGCTCTCGTGTAGCCGAAAGACCACCCTTTCCACAAAGTGCTGGATGTCGCACTGCTCCGGGCCCCGCACAAACACCATCCAGTCATGAGTGAAGCCTTCAGTGGTGGGCTTCTTCCTCAGTTGGGCTCGGTGCCCCAGCTCCAATTTAACTTGAACCGTGCACTGTTTTAGGACAGAAGTAAGACCATAAGCAAAATGAAACAACTTTGACGTTACACATAATAACGCTGAGCCCCACAGACAGACAGAAGACACTAGATCACCACAGGAGAGGAACACAACAGCCTCCACGGAGGGAGATTAGTCTAATTCTGAAAACTACACTGTTGGCAACAGAAAAAGGTATCATAAAAATAGCTCCCAGCACCATTTCATACCTATTTTCTTCCCAATATTAGCACTGCAGAGGAAACAGTTTTAGAAGAGGGATAGGTTTATCTGCTTCACTTATCAACTAAATTGTCAGCAAAGTCCTAATTGCAGAATCTTTACTTCTAGAAAAGTGTCAGCGACAGAACTCGATGTTCACAGCTTACAGAATTCACAGCACTGACAGGACACTAATCTTGAAGCAGGAAAAATTAGATCATGAATTGGTGGTTTATGATGTTCTCCGGAATATGTAATCCATTGGAACACAGCTCTGATGCTCATTGTATTCTTTTAAATGTATTTTATTAAGGCACTTTCAAAGACCAAGACTAACATACAACACACCTGCACAGTATCCAACGCTAAAACAACCTAATTCTGATTTGCACTCCCAAATCCTACTCTAATCATAGGTTAACTGAGAAGGTGTAGTCAATGTCTCATTCAAAGCACAAATATCTCATTAAATGTCTTAAAAACAAATTAATTTAATTGTGAAGATGCACATATTATTGCAGATTTCACGGTCAGAAGAAAGGAAATGAATTAAACAGATGTAACAGAGGAAAGGAAACCGTGATTCAGGCACAAGTTAATGCAAGCAAATCTTAGGGCAAGATCTGTAGAGACACAGAACAACACCTAAGGCATCCGACTCCTTACTAATTTGGGGAATATATGTTCCACACACTAGACCAGCAGCACAGACATCTCAAACTAAACCCAACAAAACTTAGGCAACTGGCACTTATTAAAAAATGGGGCAGTTTTTAGTCCTTACCCCCTTTCTTCACCTAAGGCTTGAAAATAAGCACCTTGTTCTTTCTGGCTGTTCTCAATTACCATTGTGAGAGGCAACATTATTTGTCATTACCTACATTAGAGGTGAACACAGAGCCAAACCCAGGGCATGATGTTAGACAATGAACATGGAAAGTGAAAGCTTCCCAAGCTCTAGACTAAACGTTTAGGAAAAGTATTGTCCTCATTTTCCCATTGAGGGACTGCAAACAAGGAGAATGACCGTGATTAATGGTCAGAAAGTACTCAGCATCCAAAAAGTATCCAACCTGACAGTTTACGGGGAAGCGATTTTCAGGGCACGGTTAATACTTTCCAAGAAAGATTAAGTCACGCAATCTCAGTATTCTTTTCTTTGTAAAAAAGATCACACAGGAGGTCTACAGACCCCACCAGTCATCAAAGCCTGACCTCCCAAATTGCAGTCCAGTTCTAATTTCAACTCTCAGGCAATTATCTTTATAGTAAAATACCTTCAGCTGCCATCCAACACATCAACTCTAAGACTCAGGGACAAATTAATTCCTTCACCTGTATTACTACCACATTTCTTTAGGTTACCCTCCTCTGCAAGCTCCCTTGGCAGACCATTTTTTTCCCCCCATTCTGTGCTTTTAGGGCTTATCTACGCTGGCTCCACCTCGCTCCTGTGCTAAAAACGAAGGTAGGCAGCCGCCTGTTCTTTCATGTCGTATTAAGGAGTAAGAAAAAAAAAAAGGGCAAGGTGTGTGTTTCACTCGAAGCACAGCAATCTCTCCTGTGGAGACAGCCTGCCTCAATGCCAAGCTGGCATGGGAGGGTGCTTGCAGGGCTGCTTTATCTGGGATACTTCCCCCAGCGTTCACGCAAGCATTCACATCAACCCAGCCAGGCTGTTCGGCAGCTTCACGTTATCGATTCCATAATTACCCTTTAAATTGTGCTACTGTTGCCAGTTACTACCCCTCTCCAGAGAAGTGCAAACGACTGTGTCAGTCTACAGGATTTGCCTTTCTAGTTGAAACGGCTGAGAAATTTTAGCTGAGAAACAGATGGGACTATGTAGAAGAGAACAAAATTAAACATAAAAGAGAACTGTTTAACTGAGAGTGAAAGTTGTACTTGCTATACTCCTCACATATCGGTCCAATTAACGATCGCTATGAATTAAGCCAGAAGTTGAAACACATTTGAAAATAAGATCTCTCAACATAACAAACATGCAAAGTTGCTCCGCTGAAAATGGAGGGTTTTGGTGTTTTTTTTTTCCCCAAAGCGTGTCTCTCAACAAAGGGAAATCAGGATCCTATTCAAACAATTTGTAATAATACAAAGGAGTCCGCTTTTCAACTTCTCAATAAACATTCTGAAGGCTGCTCTGGGCTTTTTTTTGTTGTTGTTTGATGTGCTAATTGCCCGAAAGGCATAACCAGCTTCCATTCTGCTCTCCTTTGGGTGATTATTCCAAGGATAGCGGGGCTCACCTCCTGAGCCTCAGGCGGGGAAGGTAACCTGTTACCAGCTCTCCTGCGCTCGCACACAAAAGGCCCCGAACCAGCCCGCTCTGGATCACCTCAGGTAAACTTCCCGCATCCATCCCCGCCCGCTGCAGCACCGCAGCGACCCGGCCGCTCCCGGGCGGCTTCCCCCCCCCGCCTCCCCGCAGCGGTAATAACTCTCTCGGTGGCATTAACCCTTTGCACCGCGGCTGATATTGGGGGAAGGGGAGGGGGGTGTTAGCAACGCCGGCACCACCCCTCCCCGTAAATAAGCCCAGGCAGGAATTTGCGGGAAATGCTGCTGCCACCCCCCGCCGCGGGCGAGGCTGCAGCGCGGCCGCCCATGAAGGGGCGAGGGCTCAGCAACCCCCC